TAAAAAAATAGCAAATTGCTTTTCTTTTTTTAAAAAAATATATATTTTATTGATTTTTTACAGAGAGGAAAGGAGAGAGAAAGAGAGTCAGAAACATCGATGAGAGAGAAACATCGACCAGCTGCCTCCTGCACATCTCCCACTGGGGATGTGCCCGCAACCCAGGCACATGCCCTTGACCGGAACCGAACCCGGGACTCTTTCGTCCGCAGGCCCACACTCCATCCACTGAGCCAAACCGGTTTTGACAGCAAATTGCTTTTTTAATTGAACTCGAAGTAAAGGTGGTGGGGGGCTGGCAAATGATGGGTGAGTGCCGTGCACACGGGCTTCCAGGGATCCTCCAAGAAATCTCTGACCTGGCCATCATCACCCATGTGTTATGGTTGAAGACCGGAGGTCAGGGAAATGGCTAAGTGGGAACGGAACCAGATTTGTCTAACTCAAAAGTTCCTTCACTCACCCATTGCGTGTTTGGGTGCTTTTCTCTCTTGTTGCAGCTTTCTTATTAGTAAAGGGATATCATGTGGGTGGGGTGGGGGGGTAGGGGGGTAGTCAAAACCAATGTTACTCCAAACTTCCGTATCTATTTTCACCGCAATAGAGGAGATTGAATTTTATTTTCCTGGCTCTATCTTTGGGGCTATTGGCAGAAATAGGGCTGTTTGGTGTTAGAACAGCACAATTTGAAAGGGGAAATCGTGAGCAAAACAAACAATTTTATTTTATTTTTTTAATATATTTTATTGATTTTTTACAGAGAGGAAGCGAGAGAAATAGAGAGTTAGAAACATGGATGAGAGAGAAACATCGATCAGCTGCCTCCTGCACATCTCCTACTGGGGATGTGCCTGCAACCCAGGTACATGCCCTTGACCGGAATCGAACCTGGGACCTTTCAGTCCACTGAGCCAAACCGGTTTCGGCACAAAACAAACAATTTTAATCTGTATGCTAAGCTTTAAAAAATGTTTTAAATATTTAAACGATTTGCTGTGATTTTACTCTTCCTGTAAACGTTTGACCCTCTGTATATATAGCCACGGTCTTTCCCCCCCCCCCCCCCCCAGTTTAACCTTCTCCTCCAGAAAGATGGGTGAAGAAAGAATAGAAGGACTTCCCCAGTCCTTTCTAAGCCACTGATCAAATGGACTGCATTAGTGCCCTCTCCTGAAAGGACGCTTTGCGATGTATGAGAGCAGTTTTTGTAAATGAACATCACCCTTAAAAACCGAGCCAGGCTCCTTGTCCACCTCCTTTAGCTTCTTGTTCTGCAAGGCTGCAGCGCCCGGGCTCCGCAGACGGCAGCTTTGGCATGGCCCTGGGGCCCGGGGGAATATTAACTTACAAGGCTTCCCCTATGTTGCTTTTACATGTCTGAAACTATTTCAAAACTTAGCGACTGAAATACAAGTGATTAAGGACACTTGACTAGAATGTAAGAAGTGCTTTTGTTCCTCCCTCCCCACCCCCGCTCTGGAGAGAAGGTGGTGGTTGGGAATGAATGAGTGTATTTTTCAGACATGTCCCGGCTGCTTCGGCAGATCTACATGGAAGAGGACGCCGGAGATTCTAAAAGGGTGGTCAAAGTAAAAATCAGGCAAGTTCTCCTAGGGGTAGATCCTCGTTGCCATTTCAATGCCACTCTGTGACTCTCTGTTTTATTAAGTGTCATGCTCTAGATGAGTGGTGAGACTGGGTGTGTGCTGAAATGGGAAAGGAGGAATCTTTGGTTTCTAGTCCCCGGAGCCTCCTAGCTTTGCAAAGGTGTTCTTTTTTTTTTTTTTTAATATATCTTATTCATTTTTTTACAGAGAGGAAGAGAGAGGGATAGAGAGCTAGAAACATCGATCAGCTGTCTCCTGCACACCCCCGCACCAGGGATGTGCTGGCAACCAAGGTAAATGCCCTTGACTGGAATCAAACCTGGGACCCTTGAGTCCGCAGGCCAACGCTCTATCCACTGAGCCAAACCGGTCAGGGCTGCAAAGGTGTTTTTGCTCCCTTCTCTCTGGCTCAGCCTTCCGGGGAAGCAGGTGCCAGATTGGGGAGGGGGGTGGGGGGGCCTCACCTCCTGAAACCTCCTGGAGGGTGTGAATTTCCATTCCCCTCTGTGCCTGCCTAAGCAGCTGGGTGCAAATGGGCCCTTCCCTCTCTGTGGGTCCCCTCCCCAGACACAGGGACAGACACTGCCAGGGTATGGTCACAGGAGGCTGGGAAGTGCCTGCGGGTCTCCAGCAGCTGGAAAGGTTTGGGTCTCTTTGGCAGATGTTTGCTGTTCCAGCCACTTCATTAATGTTGGAAACTAAACCCCTGACTCTTCCTGACCAAAGCCCCAGGTCAGTGATTGACAGCTGGGGTGTGCTCCCCCGCCCCACACACACACATACACAATCTGAAAGCAGGAGAGAGGAAGCGAAAAGAGAGAGGTGAGGGCAAAATGGGGACTTGTAGCAGCTATTGCTAAACAACCAAAATATCAAGGAAGGCGAGAGACTCATTGGAGGAGAAAGAAATTCAGTTCAACTTGTTAAGATTTGAAGTCCCATCTTGTGCTTGTGTCTGTATAATTATATAATTAGCCCACCTTTCACGCATTCATCAATTCAGGACACCTAGTGCCAGGCACATGCTAGTATTGATGATATCAGATGAATAATAACAGAGATTGGCCCACCAGGAGTTCCTTGTCCAGTGGGTGACATGAACATGCAAAAGACAGTCAAGGGACCACTAAGACAGGGGCAGGAATCACAGCGTTGGGGAGTGGAGAAGCGAGCAGACGATTCACAAAGGGGGTGACATTTGAGATGGGTCTTGAACGAGTATTGGGGGGCGAGGAGGAGGGAGGGCCTGGGGTGCGGAGGGCATTCCTATAAAGGGGACTGCTCGCGTAAAGGAACGGAATATGTAGGAAAGGCCAACCTTGAGAAGTAGGTGTTATGATCACCACTTACAAATGAAAAAAAAAATAGGGTTTTTTTTTTTTTTCAGCTTCGATGATACAGGATGGAGCGCTAGAGGCTCCAGACTCCAAGATCTGGAATCTCTCTCCCCACCACAACCTGGGGAGGTCCTCAGACCCCCTCTGAGATAGTTCGTCTCCGTAGCAGAAAACAGAAACGATGGAAAACAAAAGGATTTGTTGAATCGAAATGTCTTACTTCTTTAGCGACTTGGAACACGGCAGATTTCAAATCAAAGGACCAGTCTGCAGGAAAATATGGGCGCAGTTTGTGCCTGGAGTCGAGTAGGAGCGGGGAGGAGGGAGCCGGCCGGGGCCAGGCGGCTGGAGCCTCCGCGCGCGCTGCCCTCTCTGTGCGCTGCCCGCAGCTGCCAGCGCGCCCCGGCGCAGGGGCACGGGCGCCCGCGCAGCTCCGGATCCCGGTCTAAAGAGAGGGAAGGAGGAGATCAAGAGGAGAAAGATCGAGAAAAGGAAGAGAAAGAAAGAAAGGAAAAAGAGAAACGGGGATGTAAGATGGAGAGAAGGGAAACAAGGGCAGAAGAGAGAAGAGACAGGGGAAGTTGGATAGAGAAGAACGAAAGTGGCGCAAACAGTGGGAGGATGGGAGGGAACATTGCAAAGGAGGGAGCGGTGAAAGGAATGGGAAGAGACCTAGAGGCTAACATAGTCAGGAGGATGAGAAAAGAGTTAAGGAAAAGGGGGCATGAAAGGATGGAGGGCCCCGGAGATTCATTTGGAGCGCGCGCGTTCCGTGAGCGCACGGCAGGGCCTGGGAAGAGTCGGAGCGGGCAACGCTCAGTGCCTCGACCCGGTCGCAAGGTGAAACGGAGAGTCAGTCGCCCAGGCGCTGGCCCGCAAGCGCCCGATCGGCCCCGCAGTCCGCGCTGCCCGTGGGGTCGCCCCCGGCACGCGGCGCTCAAATTCTGCCAAACACCCATTTCTCGGCGGCTGCCTACATCCCCGCATTTTCCACGGGTTAACTATAACTCCCCACCCAATTCTGTCCTCGGCCGGAACGCCGCGCCCCTGGGACCCCTCTGGTCCCTGCTCCTCCTGCGTCCAGGAGAACCCCTCGGACTCGGCGCCAGACGGCGATGCTGGGCTGGTCCAGGTGCGGCCCTCCGCCCCGCGCGGGATAGCGGATCCGCCGCGGGATCCGCCGCCAGAGCCGGGGCGCGCACGGGCCAGAGAGCGGTGACCTTCCGCGGGACGCGCGCCACCATCCGGACACCTGGAGCCGCCTCTGCCCGGATTGGATTAGGAGAATAAAGGACAAACGATTGTAAATAAAGAGGAGGGGGCGGAGGGGCACACAAGCACCCCGGGAAGGAAGTTTCTTAAAGGTGCCGTGTCTGGCGCTCGGCCCTGATTGGGGTTATTACTACCTATTTTCTCCAAGTGTTCAGTGCTTAGTTCCCCCTCTGTGTCCCTCTGAATCGAACCGCCTGCTCTCGCGGTGGGGTCGCCCAGCTTCTGCGGCGACTCGCTCCCGGGCAAGCAGCTCCTCGGGAAACCCCGCCACGACTCGGGCCCCTTCCAGGTTTCGAGTGAGGAAACGTCACCAGCTCCCAAACTCGGTCTCGGAGAAAGCGATCCGCATCTTTCATTCTCGATTTCCTCTCAGCCCCGCGCACATCAATTTGGAGACACACCGTGGGAACGCGGCGCCCCGGGGCGGTTTCCGCGCACGGCCCGCGCGGTGGCAGGACTCGGGCAGTGGGAGCCTCCCTGGAGCGAAGGCTGGGCGTGGGGTGGGGGTGGGGGGTCCCCTCGCCCAAGGATCACAACTGAAAACAAAAGTTCCTCCAGACGCGGTTGGGAACGCACTAGGACGGTAGGCGCCCAGGAGGAAGAAGGCCAGCCGCTTAACGAGCGTGTGTCTCTGCGGCTCCCGGAACCCCGCGGCGTGGCGAGGGAAGAGGGACAGAAGTTGCTTTGCCGGGAGTGTCCCTGGTCCGAGATGCCGCGAACACGCTGCCTGCGAAGGGCACGCCGGCGCTGGCGACCGAAAAAGTTTATACATCATTTACAAATAAAAAGGAATGCACACTTCTGTTGGTTACTTTTTTATTTCTACAGTTTATTACTGGGATAGCGGACAGGGCAAGGGTCATCCATGGTTTGGGATCTCCATGGGGCAGTCAAGTTTGCAATCGGCGCAAACATCCGATGCTCGGCTCGCACGGGCAGCGAGCGCAGGGGACCGGAGGGGCGACCGCAGTCCTCTCGACCAGGCCGGTGGGGGTCCTAGCCCGGAGGGAGAAGGGCACATTGGTTTCTGGGGTCGCCGAGGACTCGGCTTCTTCCTAGTAAGGGACCTATGCCCGCCCGTCCCTGGTTTGAAGGCGGGGGGAGCGGGGCCAGGTGGGTAGTGAGATGCGCGCGAAGGAGACGCGCCGGGACGCGCTGGGGGCAGCGGCCCGCGTAGGCCAGGCCGGCGGGCGGGGCAGTGCGCGCTCCCCGCACCGCGCGCACCCTCGAGCGCGCACGCTACACACACACCTGGAGGTTGTTCCAACGGAGGGGCGGGGAGGACAGGCGAAGCGAGTGTCTTAAAATAGAGAGTCAGGCAGAAGAGCGAGAGACGCGCGCAGGCGGGAGGAGGCGAGGAGGGCGACGGGCACGCGGCGCGCAGGCTCCCGCCGAGTTGGCACAGGCGGGCTCCCGGCCGCCGACGCCCCTCGGCGTGAGTCCGCACCCGGCCCTGCAGGAAGCGCGCGCTGATTGACAGTGGCGGCGTCCCCAAAAAGGCGCGGCGAAGATGCTGATCTGCGGGTGGGTCTAGACGCGCGGCCGGCGCGCCCGGTGCCCTCTCCCCTCCGCGCCCCGCCAGGCAGGGCTCCGCCGCCTCCCGGCTGCCGAGGCGCCGGGCACAGACCCCCGCCGGTGCGCCAGCCCCGCGGCCCCGGCTCACCATGCACTGCCACGCGGAGCTGCGGCTCACCTCGCCCGGCCAACTCAAAGCAGCCAGGCGGCGCTACAAGACTTTCATGATCGACGAGATCCTCTCCAAGGAGACCTGCGACTACTTTGAGAAACTTTCCCTCTATTCCGTGTGCCCCTCGCTGGTCGTGCGACCCAAGCCCCTGCATTCCTGTACCGGTAAGGCGCCCCGCTGGGGGCTTGGGGGGGAAGGGGGCGCTAGCTCTCTCGCTGGTGTCGGGCGCTTTACCTCTTCTGTCCTCCCATCCGAGGGCGAGAGGACTAGAGTTCTCAGCGGCGGGCAGATTGCTAAGGCGGCTGCACTTTTCGGTCTGGGAGAAGGCGATCCCTGGGAAGGGCTGGTCAAGGTGTGGAACACTAGGTTGGAACAAAAGGGAAAAGGCGACGCGCCCCAGGAGCGGGTCGCCGGAGCCAGAGGGCGCTTCCTGCTTCCCAGCGCCGCCTGGGTTTTCGGTCAGAAAGTTCAAACTCTTGACCTGGTTCAGCGCCTAAAACATTGTTTCAGGAAGTGGTGTTGCTTCTCGCCTTGAGTTAACTCCAATCTTCGGTCTTCACTGGGAATTTTTCAAGGAAAGCGGTATGCGAAGGCTCTCGACAAAATCCCATATTCACTGAACTTGACTGGAAAGGATCTCCCTTTGGGGGAAATCGTTCCGGAATATGTCGCACTGTGTTGTAAGCGGAATTAGTTTTCTGTGCCTGCTAAACGAAACGAAACTCAACTAAACAACCAAAAAACAACTGTGATAACAATAAAAACATTCCTCACATCTGGGTTTCGTTCTCTGCAAGAACTAAGACCAATAGTGACGATCAAGAGCACTTCATAAATATGCTGAAAAAAGCGGAGCTTTATGTAGAAAATAAATCCAAAGGTATTTATTTTTTTAAAAAAAACACTTTGAGTACATGAAGAGAATTGAGACTGTCTAAACGTAGGGATAGCAAAAACAAAAACACAAAACAAAAAGCTGAAGCAATTTTTATTAAAAAAGTTATTGACGGTGCTTTCAACTCAAGGTGTCCACGTGGCATTTCAAACCAAAAGACCCTTTGAGGTTATGTTTGTTGCATGGACGGCATGACGTAAATTAATTTAGTCATATTTACATTGAACAAGGAAACTGAAGGGCTAGCAGTGGCTTTAAAAAACGTTTTTGGAATGGCCAGGCCAAGACCTGGGCAGTGATTGAAATCCTTTACTTTCTGTTGGTTCCATTGGAAGTCCCTGTAGGATAGTCGGTGAATATGTGTGTAAATACATACCATAAAGCTCTCTTACAACCGAATTGTGCCTACATGTATTTGGTTATAACATGAGTATTATGCTCAATTACACCTTTGTAAAATAAATTTTATCTGTCAGGTGGAATTAGGCCTAAGAGCCCATACCACAACTTGTAATACTGAATTTTAAAAATCCCGAAATAGCCAAGACAAGAAACAAATAGGACATTTTAGAAACAAGGTAGATATCCTTGATGTTGATATTTTTACAGTTGTGTGCCTGCCGCGTAAAAACCCTGGGTGGATAGTTTTCGTAGATGTTGGATAGGGGAGGTAGGCTGCATCTTGTGTTAAGCATAAATTTAATAATTTACTACAATAACTCAGTTCCTTTTCATCGCAAATTAAACAGAGAGGATCTGTTTTAATCACAAATCTCAATGCGCCTTGCTAAGGTTACTTACCTGGAGGTTCCCAGGACAAAACAGAACAACTTCTAAACACTCAGGTCAAGCATAGAGCCTGCAGGTTTGTTTGTTTGTTTGTTTGTTTTTTAGTAACTTCGCAGCATGCATTGATTTGAAGGCAGCCTTTTCTGACTTTTATCAGTTTGGGAACTGGATCATAGAAGAAAACAAGGAATAAAGAGCCTCTGAAATCAGTGGTCCAGTTATCCGTCAAGGCTAAGTGCTGTGTTTTACGGGACCTTGTGTGGGAAATTAATCAGAGGAAAATAAAATGACTCATCTGAGGCTGTGAGTTAAAAGAGAACTGTGCGCGTATATCATGAACTAAAAGCGTTGCTCAGTTTTGTGCTTCTGGTGTTCATTGATGGTTCGTGAGAGAGGGTCGTGGCTGGTTTTCTTGCCCTCTCATCCCAGGGCTTGCTTTCTATGCATTGTTCTTTTGAAAATGTGTTGTGAGTTTGCTCTCCTTGAGATTTAAGATACAGAAACTGGGATTTGCCAGTGGAATTAAACCCATAAAAACTGGCTACAATAGTCCATACTTTCAGACCCAAAGCTTTCAGTGGGTTTACGGTTACAGTTAAAGCCTTACATGTATTAGATCATGGGAATCCCATTAGTGACTTCGCAAAGGTTTTGCAAATACCCTACTTTCAAAGCATTTTGTTGCTTTTAACGGTTATGTTCAGGATCAAAAATCTTAGCTTGGATGAACTTAATCTTTTTTTTTTTATTAATTAAAAAACAACAGCAGTCAGTTCTTGGCACCCGTCACCCATAATGAAACTGTAGTTTTTTTCTGTATCAAGATAACTAGCACTTTTGGTGGAACCAATGCATTAAAAAGTTCAAATCAAGTGAAAGGCACACATTGGAATTAAAGTTACTGAACTTTCTCATCCTTTGGCCTGCTGTTTTAAGATTTAAATAAACAACAGAAGTGAACTTTGTCAGGTCAGACAATGAAAACTAAGATACAAAAAGTCACCACCCTGCATAACAGTATATAAAATTGGGGTGGAAAGAAAGCGATTGCATCGAAAAGGCCTCTTCATAGTTAAGCAGTCCATGTTCTTTAGATTAATAATTCAAATATCAATTCATGATACTGAATCTCCTCAGGCAGAAGATCTTGAGTTCCGGTAAACTGGGAAATGGAAACATTTTACGTAATCACCTGACAAAGATTTATTATCAGGCATGCTAACCTTAATGGAATACTCACCTTCAAAAAATTACTCTCTATTTTCACAGGCCCATTTCTTATTACAAATGGTGTGATTTTAGTCTTAGAAAGCTGTTTCTAAATCACAGGGGATCTCCTAAGTCACATTATAATCACTGAGAAGGAACCTTGTGTGGGAAATTAAGCCAAACGAAAGGAACGTTTATCATTACATTTAAAATAAGATTTAAAAAGTGAAGCGCAAAGAAAGCCACCATATGAAAACAGGTGTGTTCTGCAGACCCCTGTTGAGCTGTGCAATAGGCTCAGAATTAATTTGGTATATAACACGTTGGTCTACTTTTCAGTTTGAACACAGTGATCCTCATTCAGAATGGAAACATATTGCCATTTGGGAATTAGTAACGATCACACATCAACATTAGAGCATAGACAGTGACTAAAGGCCAAGCATGAGGTGCCCTTTAGGGTGTCGTAAACTCTGTTGAAGTCTGCAGTGTGTTGTCGATTTCTCTGGTTGGGATTTATGCTTCTTGGTGGAAGAGTCACTTGCAGAAACCTGTCCTCCAGGACAGAATAGACTGCAGGGCGGAGGGGGATGGGGTACCCGCACAGTAGCTTTGGGGGATCCCTCTTTCAGTTTGATCTTTAGACACAGGCAGAGTTTCTAAACTTCAGTGGTATTTGGAAACAAATGAATAACTCGCTTCACAAAAACAACGATGTCACAGTTTACCCTCAGAATTTTCATAGGAGGATACCGAGAAACCAAGTGACTGTGCTTATAATTTGTGCTAATTACTTATAATTATTTATAGTATAACCTAGATTTACCGCAGACTTGCACATACATATTTGTGGGGAGGTGAATGTAGACATTTGGACATTTTACAACCCATGACCAGTACGTGACTTTTAATTATTCCACTGAAACCATAGTCCAGCCCTGGCCGCGTGGCTCAGTTGGTTGGAGCATCTTCCTGTAAACCAAAGGTTTCGGGTTTGATTCCTGGTCAGGGCACATACCTGGGTTTTCGGTTCGATCCCTGGTTGGGGTGCCTATGAGAGGTGGCTTATTGATGTTTCTTTCTCCCCCTTTCTCTTTCTCCCCCCTCTCTCTCCTTTCCTCTCTCTAAAATCAGTGAATACATTCTTGGGTGAGGATAAAAAAAATTTAAACCATAGTCTAATTCCTTCCCCCTTCTCCGGCAGAATGATCCTGTTGAATCTGTCTGTGATTTGCCAGTCTTATTGCATAGCTGATTGGAGGTATAGAGGTGGAAGGGATCATAGACCAGTGTCCCCTAGGACAGTGGTCGGCAAACTCATTAGTCAACAGAGCCAAATATCAACAGCACAATGATTGAAATTTCTTTTGAGAGCCAAATTTTTTAAACTTAAACTATATAGGTAGGTACATTATTATTAAATTAATTAGGATACTCCTGAGGCTTAGGAAGAGCCACACTCAAGGGGCCAAAGAGCCGCATGTGGCTTGAGAGCCGCAGTTTGCCAACCACTGCCCTAGAAGAAGACACTTTTTTGCAAAGTGCTAGGGTCACATCAGTGTGGGCGTCGTTTCTGTCCGTGCTACCCACGCTGTCCTTCTCGTTAGGGTACCCAGGAGTAGGAAGACCTTTCCCACGTGGTCACACACCCGGGGGTAAACTCCTGCAGTCACACCCAAGGCACAGACAACCAGCCAATTAAAAGGGGCATTTGGGGAAAGGTGTTTATCTGAGGAGGTGGCATTGAGAACATTTTATCCTTTGGTGGGTCCAAGAGAAACAAGTTCTTTGGGGTGGTGTCCTTGGGTTCATTTTTCTTTTCTTTTTTTTAATCACAAAGATTGGGTGTCATCGCAGTGAAAAATGAAAGGAGGTGCGGACGGGTATCATGACTTCGTAGGGAGGTCGGGAGCCAGCTACTGCTTTCTGGAGTTGGCTCCTGTGGCTCCCCAAACTCAGCTCTGGCTTTCAGTCAGAAACCAGACCCCGTAGGATCTTGGGAGCTGGGAGCTGGGCACTGGAATGTTAATGGAGAAATGCAAACTGGGGTTTGGGAAAATGATCATTACGAACAAGCATTTGCATTTCTGCCAGAGGCAAATAGGCTTTTATTAGCAATTACTCATAACCGCGTCTCCTGTTCCCATTGTAAGGGCACATAAATCAAGGGGCTCACAGGGCCAGGACTCATCAGGGTCAGAGACTATATTTGGGCTGAGCTCTTTTGAGATCCTCAGCTGTCGTTTTATTATCCCTTAAATGTTATAACTC